CTAAAACTCAAGATCTTCACAATTTAACATCGCAAAGGCCTTTAGATTAGACTGACCAAATATAATGTTGATGTCATTAAATCTCTAGAAGGAGTTGGTTACAACGTAAAAAATGTCACTTCCTGTTGCCAGCAGGTGGCGCTATGACTATAACTGAAAATGGGCATGTAGATCTCTTCAGGTCTAACATATACTTTTCTCTTCATTTAGTTTCACACAGCAGTGAATGCCGCAGGTCATGCTGGAACACCAGGCTGATGTTTATAACCTCCTCAGATCATATTATCCAAATGGGAGATCACATCCGTAACCTGGAGACATGAGGGATCAGTCTGGTGCACAGTGTTCAAATGTCAGATCTCAGTTAAACACCTCTGCCACTGCGAGTTCTCATCTGGATCAGGACTGCAGAGGTAATCAGTGATGTCTGATCGATTTCAGATAGGGCACCGGGGCTGCGATCAGCTGATAAGCGTGACCTCGGAGGGTAATTGATGAATTAAAGGGGATCAGCAGGTCATCTTTGATGTGGAAACTTTTGGAAGGATTGGATTAAGTCACTTAATTGGCTGATATCGTCTTGTAAGGCAGATACTGCTTATCAGAATCTCTCATTTCATCACCCTCTCCCTCGAGTCCTTAATCCATCAGATTATCTGAAAGACTCGAGGCTGAGATTATGAACTCTCTGTAAAGTACAGTTATTCTCACATGGTTCTGCAGAATGTATTGCAACTGTTTCTGTTGCTGCATGTTTGCAGATTTCCAGTGTGACCAAATCTACTGGTTTACATCAGGGTTATTATAGTAAAACTAAAACCATTGAAAACATTTTTGCTACTTAAAATAATATAAACATGAACTAAAATAAAATCTGGTATAAAAAAAACTCACATTTTCATTTAGATAAACTCGATGTACTAAAATAACTAAAACTGAAATAAAACACTATATAGAAATGTTTAAATATAAAAATGACAAAAGCACACTGCAATATTACTAAAACTAACCAAAATTACAATGAACACAGATATATAAAAAACTATTCAAAATATTTAATATTAGAGTTTTCCCTATAAAAATGTTATTCACATATTTATGTGTTGATTATATACATGAATATTAAAAATATAGAAAATCAACTGAAAGAAGTTGAGCAAAGATATTTAGCATTTTACCGCATAAAGTAGTTTATTGCACTTATTATGGCGAAAAATTGCATTGTCAATTTGCTGGTAACATCCTGTCTGCTGTGCATAATAATCTAATACCTGAATAAAAATATCAAGAATTCAATTTTAATGATGGATTGGCACTTAGCCATCTCTGCTGAAAAAGTAAAACTACAAGATACTGACCTATAAAGACTTTTTAAAGATTTCTGGATATTCTGACAGTACAATTTAGATCTTGGTATATATATTGTGGCATATATACAGATACAAATATTGTGTGTGTGTGAGAAAAGATATAATAAAATATTTACAAAAATGTGAGGGGTGTACTCACTTCTGTGAGATACTGTATATATACTGTGTATATATAATTGATTTATTTTGGCAGCATTTATTTTCCCCTCTGGATATGACTGGATCCATAACTGCATCTTTTTCTAAGATAAGGAGTTTCTTCTTAATGAAAAACTCTCTATATTGTAATTTTCCCACTACAAGGACCTTTTGTTCCCAAGTGTCAAGTATCAAAATTTCTATTTAATAAACCCTCTCCGCACACTATTACACTTAGCTCGAGTGTTTCTCTCTGGATGCTCATGTACTGCACCAAAGTAAGTTTGCTGTGAAAGAAACTGCTGCCTGCGTCTTAGATCAAATATAAAGCGATATCAGTGGATAAAGGGAGAATAACTTCTCTACTGAGCAATTCTACTGTCTACTTCAGTTTCTCTATTGTAGTCGGCATTATCTAGTCTGTCTGAATGCTTCAACTCTCACACATATTCCTCCCGGGGGCTTTTATAATGAGAACAGGACTCAAGGCTGGAAAATTGCAGATGTTTGCAGTCTTTCTCGGCACCTGCCTGTCTCACTTTGCCATTGTATATCTGCTTACTATATGCATTTCTCAGATCAGATGCTGTGGTACATTAATAAATACACACAATTGCCTGCATGATCAGCCTAATTGAAATACTACTGTAAACTTTTTTTTTCAGCAAGAATGCATTAAATTGATCAAACATGACAGTAAAGACTTGAACATTGTTACACAAAAAATATATTTAAAATGAATGCTGTTCTTTTGAACTTTCTATTCGTCATAGAAAACGTGACTTGGTTTCCACTAAAATATTAAGCAGCACAACGGTTTTCAACATTGATAATAATCAGAAATGTTTCTTGAGCAGCAAATCAGCATATTATTATTATGATTTCTTAAGGACCATGTGACACTGAAGACTGGAGTAATGATGCTGAAAATTCAGCTTTGGTCACATTTTAAAATACATTCAAACAGGTATTTTAAGTTGCAATAATATTTTATATATATAATTGTTTTACTATATTCTTGATAAAATAAAGGCAGCCTAGGTAAGCATTAGTATACACTTCTTTCAAATCATTGAAAATGATATATACTCTTACATTAAGAAAAGTCCAAATCAGCTCTGAAAGGTGTAGTAATTGATTGCTGTTTAAATCTATATTTGGATGCTTTTAATAAAATACATCAGGGTTTGGTCTGGCAGGGATATCTGCTGAGGTCCTGATCTATGTTAAAAGGATGCTATATTTGTGTGTTATGGGACAAGAGATTATTCAGTCCCAGATGATCACAGAGCAGGTTGCAGCAGCTTCTCATCGGTGAATGCATAAAAGAACAGTGCTTTCACTGCACACCTGCAGCGGTGCTTGTACTAGAACAGAATGCACGCGGGTCTATTTTATTTTTTTTGCACCATTTACCCTATAAAAACACCTGAACTCCCTAAACCTGCTCAAAGACCTGTTGTGGTCACGGTTTCTTTTACCTAATTTCTCCCTGTTTTGTTTGTTGGATATCCGTCTGATGTAGACCAGAGACTCACAAGAAGAAAATGATCTGTGTGTCAAATATAAATAAAGCCTGAGGGTGCCATGTTGGCATATGAAATATAGGCTACTATTTGATATTGTAAATCAATGAATAACTCTTACCTGTGGCAGTTTGCTGTTCTTAAATCTTAAAGGAGTTAAAACAAACGAATACAGTATTATATCTTTTGCATGTATCAGATCTGAAGCAGTTTGTGATATAATCCTCATTTTAAGAAACTGTATGTACTGAAATATGAGTTTTAAAATAATTCTAATGGTACACTGAATTCTAATGAGGTGAATGGCTTCTGTTTCTTTGCCAAACGGCTGTTCTGGAAGAATGTAAGTTTGGTGAGCTTATGGCAGCAACAAATGCACGTGTACAGCTGAAATTCCACTCACTTAACTGTAGGGGCGCCAAAGTCTCAAAAATATACAAAACTACATACAAACATTTCATTACACCAAATACACAAAAGAATGTTCTTTTTAGCAACATCATATGACCCCTTTAATGGTCATATAGCATTTTAGTATATGAAAGTGAGTGTATGTACAATATTTTTTATACTCCGTATTTATTTAGGAGAAAATAGGAGCTTCTTCTGTGCCACATTATTTTATAGACTGTGACATATATATAATATCTGACATATATGCGGTGTATATGCTGACAAAGCGCTTTGGAGTTTCATGAGGAAGCTGTCACACAATATACTACCACCCAGCCTCAGACCACAGGCTGTAGCGAATAAAAATTCAGCAATATAGCTCGTTTTATGATGCCGATGATCCAAAAAAAAAAAAAGAAGACCAAAGCCAAGAATCTTCTGTCGGCCACTGCTTTTGTTTCTGCATGCAAATGTCTTTGATTAAAGCCAAACAAACCTGACAATATTCGGGGGACGCATCTGAGCTCAACTCAATTAGTAAATCAGCTAGTATGTACTAGGTAGCCTACACTTTGCAGCCTGCATCTTATGCTCCCTGTTTATCATGTCTATATGCGCAGCGATGACTCCAAAAGCTTCACTCTATTTTTGACTGAATAAATTATGAGCAGAGATTTCGGCTTTAGAAGAAAGATGTCTGTATAATTCATTGCATTCGAGCTTCACAAACATGATGGATATGTTGTGTTTTCGTTTTCGAAGCGTGCCAGAGGTCCGGATTTCCCCGGGGAGGGAGAGAGATGACAATAAATATGATAAATAATGGGATGCTACAGATATTACTTGCTTCGTGTTCCGGTTTATAACACAAAACAATAATGCATGTTGAAATCCACTAGTATGGTGAGACAGGGCTATGTAATTATCACTTATTTATTCATGAGACTCATTATGCTGTCTTTAATGAAAATACATTTATCAATGCTTCTCAGAGTCAGCCTGATAGTATCATAGCTCAGTCAGATATCTCATATGTCAGGTGCAATGCCGAACAGCAAGTTGAGTTGTCATAAGAAATACTTTTAAGTTTTTGATTATTAAGAAAATGTTTCGTTTAAACATCTGCAATTATATACATCTTATATTAGCAGTCACTTCTGTGACATATCTGTCACCCACACTTAATAATTACAGATGTACTGTAATAAATGTGAATGACTAAACTCTTAAGGTGAATACTTATATTTTGTGCAAACTAATGTTAGTCAACACAAAACATCCTAAAGAAACATTAAGAAAATGAAAGATAAACTTTAATAGTGACTATAAGCACACTAAGAGATGATATGGAAAACATGTTTAATAAATATAGTTACACTGATAACAAAACATAAAACATTAGTTTGCATTTTCACAATTCCCTCATGACACACACCATCCATGAATGAAGTGGGCGTCTAAGAGTTGCACAACATTCTGTCCGATTTCAAATGAGATTGTTTATTATGTACGATAATTTACAATGAGCATTATTCAGATACGATAAACAATTAATTAAATGAATAATATTGCACTGCAGGATCTCGCAGAGATTTAATGAATTCTTATTGAGTTGTTGGTATTATATTTTTTCTTGTGACTAAATACACAAGATCACTGGCCTGAAATGTATCACAAATGACTGGAAGGTCACATATATGGTTTATAAAATAAGTCACAAAATATATAGGGAAGACCAGGGTTAGTTTGCACACTTATATAGCCTACTCTATACTGTTTTATGTAACTCAACACATAAAACTCCTGGGCTGACACAGCTGAATGGGAATCAAAAAATATAAATAAATGCACCGACATGACAGCCTACTTTTCAACGCCATACATAGGCTAGAGTGGAAGATTAGAAAATTTCATTAAAGTGGGGGTGGTGGGGTCTCATTAAGGTTTCACTTTAGTCGTGACGTAAGCAACTCACGAGCTCAGACCCTGCGTGTCCCACCGCGAGCTCAAAACAGACGCAGCGCGCGCTCCGAGCTGCAGCACGCAGAACGGAGCTCCTCTCTGCTGCTTGAGACTGCAAAGACAAAAGCCGTTTCGGATAACATCAAGAGCAGAAAACATCTGTGTGCATCATGAAGTTTGCTGCTTTAGTCTGCTTGGTTGTTTTCTTCGCTGCAGGTAAGTGTACAACAAAGAATCATTGAATAAATCATTTCAGCACCATGGTCAGCGACAAAACAGTTTGCTGCGGAACAAATAGTAGATCACGATGGAAATTTTCTTTAAGCGGTTTTTGCACGAGTAAAACGTATGGATAATTGGTGATATCGAGATGAATAAGCTTTCGCATTGCGATTTGCACAAATATAATTCAAGGCTTTTACTATCCCAGATGGAGGGTCCATACCAGTTGAGCAGGACAGCCAAAGAGAGGACCTGGTATGCTGTAGCTTCTGTCTATAAAAAAAACAAACAAACAATGCATTTATTGTTCTACTCCTTTTGGTTGAAGTACATACTTTAATTTCAGCTTACCCAGTGTTTAGTTTACATCCTTTCAAAGGCGCTGTATAAGACCGATGATGCTCCGCTGCATCCAGAATGCAAAAACATCCTTACACCAGGTACGTTACTTTGCACTTTCACACTGTGTTGCTTTATTGCGTTATTGAGGAGAACATTTGATTTATTAGCAAATGAACTCAAATGGAGAATTCTTATCCAGGTTGTTTCTAGCATAACTCATGTTTGATCTTACATCTAAATCCATTAAATTTATCATTTGGACATATAACGTGAGAACAGTCAGACTACATTATCGTCACATGCAGTTTCTAACCTCAGTACATCGTGCTTGGTGGATGAGACTGTTATGGGTCAGTGGTTTCACTCTAAGACTGTGGAATAATAATTGGATGTATTCATGCAGTGTATAAACAATGGAGTGAAAATGAGTTACAAGTCATTTGCATGTGCGTTTTTTGTGCCCATATTTATCTCTCCACGAATTTAGGATCAGGTCATTCCTCAGTTGTGAAAAAGGAGGAAGACACTCTAAAACCGGCTCAAGAGGAGCTTAAAAAACCAAGAGAAGAGTCTAAAGTTAAGGAGGAGGAACTCATAGAGGATCTTCTCAAAGCTGACAAACGGGAGGAGCTGGATGACGAACGTAGCCAGGAAGAGTTCCCAAGTTTTGTTAAAAGAAGAATCAAAGACAGGCGTGAGGAAATGGATGATGAACGTAGCCAGGAAGAGTTTCCAAGTTTTATGAAAAGAAGAATCAAAGAAAAACGTGATGAACTGGACGATGAACGGAGCCAGGAAGAGTTCCCAAGTTTTATGAAAAGAAGAATCAAAGAAAAACGTGATGAACTGGACGATGAACGGAGCCAGGAAGAGTTCCCAAGTTTTATGAAAAGAAGAATCAAAGAAAAACGTGATGAACTGGACGATGAACGGAGCCAGGAAGAGTTCCCAAGTTTTATGAAAAGAAGAATCAAAGAAAAACGTGATGAACTGGATGATGAACGAAGTCAGGAAGAGTTCCCAAGTTTCTATAAAAGAGGCAACAAGCATAAAAGAGAAGATCCTGATGATGAGAGAAGCCAAGAGGAATTTCCTCAAAAAAGAAATTTTTCCGTCCTTTACAAGCGTGATAATCCCGATGAGGAGCGCAGCCAAGAGGATTTCCCTCTATATGAATATAAAAGGAGTCGTCTTCAGACCAGCAGAGAAAAACATGAAGAGCCAGACTATGATAGAAGCCAAGAAGATTTCCCAAGTTTCACCCACAAAAGAAACCATGGGGATGGAGAAGAAGAGGACGAGGAGAGTGAGGAAAGAGAGAAGCGGATCTGGAAGCCATCACATAGATACCACCACAAGAAAAAGCACCACAAACGCAATGAGAATGAGGATTTTGAAGAACCATACTATGATAGAAGTCAAGAAGACTTCCCAAGCTACGGCCAAAAAAGGAGTCATTGGGATGGTGGGCACTACAAGCCAAACGAACACTTGCTGAACGAGCAACTTAATGAGGACTTAAACTCTCAGGAAAAGAGATCTGAAGAATCAGAAGAGGTAGACGAGGATATCGCAAAGCGATACTGGAAACCCACCCATAGATACCACCATAAGAAACACCACAAACGGGACTCATCTGAAGAGGATAATGAGGAAAGACCCCTGGAAAAAAGGAATGAGGACTCAGAGGAGAGTGAGGAAATGGATAAAAGGATCTGGAAGCCCACACACAGATATCATCACAAGAAGCTTCATCACAAGCGTGGCGACTCCATAGAGCTTGAGGATGAAAATGAACCCATCTCAGAGAAGACTCACAGTCTCCATGACTCAACAGACAACGCCTTCAAGCGCCATTCTCCTAAAGAGGAAAAACAGGAAATTGTCCATGAGCTTAATGAAAAGAGGCATCCTTTAACTAGCCAAGAGGAAGAAGATGAGCTGAAGAAAGGGCACCAGAGTTCAGCAGAGGAGAAGCAGGACAGGGAGGCTGCATTGAGGTACCTAACCAAAAAGAAGAATGAGTTACAGGAACGTCTACTTAACAAAGGTGATGTCTATGAGAAGCGTTCCCCATGGATTTACAGAGGATACTACCATCCAGCCTGGTACAAAAGAGGCCATAATGTGGCTGAAAGTACTGACCAGCACCCCTACCATAAACTAGAGGACCTCGCCGAGACTCTCCGGTACAAAAGAGGTCTACTTACTCAGGAGGAGTCACCCCAGGAGGAAAAGGGTGTCCCCCAACAGAAGCTTCTCACACCAGAGGAGGTATGGTCTGATCTGTCCAAGTGACAGTACACAGTTTTTGCACATTTTGTCTGACAACACACACATTTTTGGCGTCTCCCTATTCTGATTCAACTCAGAAACTTGTTCGTGGAGACACCAGGTACTGGACGGCTGTGTCAGATAAGAGATATTCAAAATGTGCACTGTTAGGGAAACTTCGGGAATGGTTTGGGGACCAATGCACTAGGTCTTCAAACCTGCTCCTGGAGACCCACTGTCTTGGACAGCTTATTTCCAACCTGCTACAACACACCCGCCTGTGATTTTCAAGCAATCCTCAGGTGTATTTGATTAGGTCTGGATCTAAAGTCTGCAGAGCAGTGGGACTCCAGGAGCAGGGTTGAAGACCTCTGCACTAGGTTTCACAATCCCAATTTAACAAATGGACCCACTGAGCCCTAAAGTCTACATGTTAAATTACAAATGGGAATAAAGAAAGCATTCACTCACCCAAGTCGTTTAGTACTAGACAGGGATGTATTGGAAGCAAAGAACAACATTAACACAATCAAGACTTGCTTCATGGAGCTCTTGAAAAACAAGGCCAGATTTTCCGCTTGAAGTAGCTTTTCAGTATCTCTGCTTGCTAGACTTCAACATGGATAAGTTGAGTGACTAAGAGAGGACGTGGGTAGACTGTAACTCTCCTTTCAGTTCTTTAGACCATGCAACTCTAGCTGCACCAAAAAGCAGCAATAACCTCCTAGAATCTCTCCGGTGACTACTTAAGCCAAATGTTGTGCTATTACAAGGACATCCGAGTTATCTGATATACCTGCAAACTACGAAGTAATATTGCATTTACTTAAGGGTTTAGAGGGATGTGCTAAGAGCATAATTCCTCATCATGACAGGGATATTGAATAACTAAATGTACTTCCATATAACTTTCCTACTGGGAATGTGGAAACAGGATATTTCATTGACAAGAGCAACCGAATTTCTTTCAATCATAAAGAAACAACCCAGTTTATGCCAGACTGCAACAACGGCAAAAACAACACAAAACAACTCCGGGGACTGATTAAGGCAATTGTTTTTAAGCATCACTTAAAAGAGTTATGAAACATAAGTATGTACTGCATTTAATTCTTGTTCTTTTCTTTCATTTAAAGGAACTTGAGAAACTGGCCTCTGTGGATCAACAGATGAAAGAGACAACTTAATCATTCCTAGAACCAGCTGAAACATCATCTTCTTACGCTGCCTGAATTGATTTTCAGTACGCTTTATGTGTGCTTACTTGGGCTGCTTTAGATGAATGAATTATTATATGTCGTACCTGATTACAACTGCATTATACTTGTTATTAGTGTAAATCAGCATTTAATGTGAGAGTCTTAGAAGCAAGACAGTCTATAAAAGGAAAAAAAAAAGCTTGATAATGTCATATGCATCATTTTTCTCTTTATTACATTCTAAAATAACATAAAAAAAAACAAAATGACCAAGTACTATTGACTGCAAATTTGACCGCATGTTTGAGCATGCTACTTTACAACTGTAAAAAATTACTGTTGTTCTTTATAACCTTCAACAGAACCTCTGCTTACTTGATTGTTTGCATTTAATAAAATGTGTAATTATGGGACCAAAGCCGATGAATGCAGTTATCATTTGTGTTTTGATGCTGGAAACCTTTTGAAAATGATTAAAACAGATAAATATACGGTTTACTTGTGCAATGATGCATTTTGGAAGCAAAACTTGGTTATTCGCCAAGTGCAGAGGATGCCGAAAAAGCAGCACGTCTTCCTTCCTCCACATCTTGCTAAAAAAATAAAAAATAAATAAGGATGAGAACATTTCTGTAGCTCTTAAATGCAAATCTTTTCAAAAAGAAACAAAAAACAGTAGCTAACAGACTCTGAATAATAAAGTCATGCAAATCATACAGAGAATATAGCACTGGCTGAATGTGTGAGTCCAACACTGATTTGGTTTCTTCTCACTTAAATACGTTAAACTAAACTAATTGCCTAGGCAGAACTAATCTCATCCAGTTTCAGCCTCTTGGCAACAGGCTCCTCTGATTTGTGCTGATTCCTAGCTTTGGCAGCGTCTGCAGCGACCGTGGTTCCTGACAGGAGATACCCTCCACCTCCACTCATGAGCAGCACTGGATGAGTCCGGTTGGGCAACACCTGAAACAATGATACAGAAGTGAATAAGAAGTCAAAGCCTTCTAGGGGTGGGTGGTAAGAACAAAATCTTATTTCACAGCGCGAGTCATCTAATATAAGAGTAATTACATCAAAATGTATCTGTTTTTGCTGGAAATACAACAAAAAAGGTTTACACATAAATAACCGTTCTAATGCGAATTTTAGCATAACTGAGCAAATTAAATAAATACATTTCTATTTTTTATATTTTGAACTTGATGTACAATACCGTTCAAATGTTTTTTTTTATGTTTTATGCTTACCAAGGCTGCATTTATTTGATCAAAAATACAGTAAAAACAGCAATATTGTGACATATTACAATTTAAAATAACTGTTTTCTATTTTAATACATTTTAAAATGTAATTTATTCCTGTGATACAAAGCTGAATTTACAGCTTCATTACTCCAGTCTTCAGTGTCACATGATCCTTCAGAAATCATTCTAATATGCTGATTTGCTGCTCAAGTAACATTTAGTATTAAAGGGGTCATATGATGCTTTTTTAAAGATCATTATTTTGTGTATTTGGTGTAACAGAATATGTTGACATGCTTTAATGTTCAAAAAAAGCCGTTTTAGGGGGGCGTGGCAGAGTCTTAACTTTGATAAAGAATATCTCTTTGGTTTTGAGACTTTAGTCTTTGCAACTTCAGGGATCTTATCTATGCACAATCAGCTTGTAACACTTCAAAGAGAAAGGAAAACTTGAAATCGCATCATATGACCCCTTTAATATTATATCAATGTTTAAAACGGTTGTGCTGCCTAATATTTGCCATACATTTTTTCAAGATTAATATAAAGTTCAAAAGAACAATTTAATTGGATTAATGTATTTTTTTTTGGAACAGTGTAAAAGTCTTAGTGCCTCAATACAGTTTATTGTATAGCAGCCTCAATTTAATGCATCCTTGATGAATAAAAGTATTAATTCCTTTCTAAAAAAAAAAAAAATGTACTGACCCCAAACTTTTGAACAGTAGTGTAAACAAAAAAGATTAATAACAAAAAGTCTGGCATTAGAGCAAAAACAACAGTCTGTGTACAGGATGAGGTAGAGAATTACCTGGTAATGCCTGAGCCAGGAATCTGTTAATCTGAGACTGATTGCTCCTCCTTGTTCCCTGAGTTTTGTGTAGCACTCAATCAGCGGCTGTCCAAACCAGATCAGACAGTAAATATTGCAGAAAGCACTTATTAAAACACTTGACTCAAACTGAATATACAAATCTTTTTAAAGCGATGGTACACCCTGCTTTTATGGTACTATGGGAACTTGACAACAACTGGCAGAATCTACTTCATGCAAAATACATGTTTAGACATTTTGCTAAATAACAAGTTTGGAAGAACTGCCTCTTGAACAACACTTGCTAAAGCAATCCGTTTTACCTCTCTGTACTGGCAGTACACTACGAACGGTCGTGATGGAGCTACGAACTTCAGCAGACCCATTGACACAGGACAGGGGTCGAAGCGACTAGCAATCACCAACCTGAAACAAACATTTCAATCAGCTTGCCCATATTAACTAGGTGAATCACTGGAAGACTGCATACAAAACATCTTAAAAATCAATACATAATATGACATGTCAAGACTCATCAATATCACCATACATCACTTTCATGAACAGTCAGTCGCATGTTTTCCTCTTTTGAAATCATATACAAAATGTGCACTTAATCATGCTATGGACTACCAAGAGATTTGAAATGTTTATGAGTTTTAAATGCATTTAGGGCTGGACAATAGAGTTAAAAATAATATTTTTGCTATATAACAGAAAGCGGTTTTTTTTACAACACAAAACATACCCATCTGCATTTCTGCTCTGTAATAGAGCTGCAGCTGAAGCTAACTTCTTCCTCTTCTCCTCCATCTTCACCTTTTTCTCTTGAGCCTGTAAGGTTAGAAAGACCAATTAAATGTGTGACATTTTAAAATAAACTCTTAAAAGACACTTTTCCCACCATGACTAGTTTCCCATTAACAATGTTCAGAAGTGTATATACAGGCATCACACAAAAAGTCTGTTTTTGCTTGTTCGGTTTTCTTCACACATCCCTTTTCACACATTTCACCTCAAGCTGCTCTTCTTTTAATCTTTTGTCTCCTTGGCAACGATGTAGAGTTTTGAAAACTATCAAAAGAACAACATTTTTGATCATTGTGAAAATGACATCACAACAGAGGAACAGTTGTAATTTGGGTACAAAATAAAAAATAAACATTTAGTTTGTTTTTTATTTAGTTTGTTTATTCAGCTGTTTGTTTAAATTATTAAACGAAAATATTTATTTAAATTATAATATTATTTTAAAATGGAAAGTTCTGGGCTTGGATCAAATACAATGCATTTGTAAATAGCTTGTGTTTATTTAGCTTTAGTCTAAATGATGACTTTTTTTTTAAATAATAATATTTAGAATTATTTAAATTATATTATGTTAAAAGGGGGCATTTTGGTTTTGGACCAAATGTAATATATTTGTAAATAGTTGGTGTTAATTTTTGCTTTTTGTTTAAATGAAAAAATTTTTTAAGTAATAATTATTATTTAGATAATTTAAATTAAATTCATATTTTATAATGGAAAGTTTAGGTCTTTGATGAAATATATATTTTTTAGTTTTTTGTTTGAATGATCATATAATTTTATATAAAAAGTCATTATTAATATTTAGAACTATTTCAATTATATTTAGTATTTTAAAATGGTATTTTATAAAGGTTTGGCCTTAGACGACAATAAAAGCAAAAGCAGGTTTAATGATGTAGGCATGGAAAAAGTTTCCAAGACAGTTTCCATGACAAAAACTATTAATAAAAAAATTATAATTTTTAACAATAATCATAATTTTTAAAAAAATTTTTAATGTAAGTATTCAAGTAGTTCCAGAAACACCCAACCATGATGCGATATATGCACATAAAAGTCATGGGAAAAATCTTACCTTCTGTCCTCGCAGTCTTTCTCTCTCCGCTCTCCTCATTTCTTCTTGCGGGTCGACGCTGACCTCCATGCTCTGAGGTTCTGAGCTCTTCTCCTCAGACACACCTGAGGTTTCCTGAGAGGGCTCAGATTGACCGTTCCTGCTGCCATTGGCCTCAGAATCTGCGTCCTTCTCTGACAGATCCAGGCTTCCTGCCAGCAGAGCGTTAACTTTGCATAAAGGGAACTCATGCAGCGTCTCATGGAAGTGTAACGGAAAGCCGAAGCTCTCCATGCCGGCTCTCGTTGGGCCTCCACCGGGATACATTTGAATCACTGAGCCAAAACCTGAAAAACAGAAACATCTGGATCAACAGCACAGTGTAATAGTGGTTGACTAATACAAGATTTTCTAAATACAGGTAACCAAACAGTTGATGGTCCCCACTGTTTTTTGTCATACTATGGAAGTCACCAACCCATATTCTTCAAAACAGCTTTTTAAGTTCAACAGATGAAAGAAACTAATACAGGTTTGGAACAGCTTGAGGGTGGGTAAATATGACAATTTTCATTTTGGGGTGAATGATCCCTTTAAGTAAAGTGTGATTACCTCCCATTCGCTCCATCACCGAGCCCAACACAAGTCCAGCACAGGTCTCAAAAACAATGATTTTACTGCCAGCGTGGATGTTACCCAGAGTCAAAATCTGAGCCAATGTGTCGTACCGCAGGTGACTAAAATAGACAAAAATATTTACAATAGAGTATAAATGCTTTCAAATGTACTAGTACAGGGTTTCCCAAACTGGGAAATCATAATAATGTAAAAAATAATTTTAAAATAAAAAACTCAAAATCAAACAAATCTAAATAATAAAAAAAAACTCTTCCTTTTAAAAAAAAAATATATATTTTATGTGTATTTGCATGTGATTTGACCATTAACCAACATCAGAGAATCGCAGTGTTGTTAATGCTAACTAAAACTATCAAAAATAGCGTTACTTAATTGAAACTAAATATAAATGAAGCAATAAAATGACTAAAATAGAAATAAAAATAAATTGAAAGCTAAAGATATTTATTTGTAAAAATAAAATAAAATAATAATAATAATAATAAACTAAAAATGACAAAAGCACATACATTTCTGAGATGATTATTTCAAAGGGTTACTAATGACACATCATTTGGATATTTTCATGTCTGGGGAAAAAATTGGGATTAAACGTGTTAAAATGCGTTTTAAACAATATCTCACGGTTCTCAACCAATCAGATTTGAGAACCAGAACGAACTGTAAATAAGTAAAGACAATAAATAAGTAATAAGTACATAAATATTTCTACAACTTTCTACAATATAAACATGTTGTATTCACATATTTATATCATGCACTTATAACAACAACTATTAGACATAATACCTAAAAAATTATTTATTATTAAAGTTATACATCAATCCTTTATGCAATATCAAAAAGGGTGGGAGGTATCTGAAAAATAATCTCATTAATATTACTTTATATTCTTTAATTTTAGAGGTGCCCATATCTTGTGAACAGATAACAGCTAGTGAAAAGACATGGGCTGTTACTTTTGCAACTGGACTTAAAAAATTAACAATTCAATTGCAAAATTCCCATAGACTATGACTCGTTGAGACCAGAATATACAAAATCTAGCTCAGAACAGTTTTGGTTAACATGCATCCCTAGACAACTTTCCTCAGGTACATACCTGACCCTTTAGCCCTTGCTCTTTCAGTGTTTCAATATCATCTCTAGTCAGTTTCTGAGATCTGCCATCATCCACTATATGCCTGTTATCCTGGCCTGCTTCCTTAGAATCTGTGACAGGAGAAACATAATATCATCTCATCAGCAAGAAAATGAATGAATCCACAGATAACGACATAAATCCACAGCATCATTTACCCAAAGAGTCTCCTGTGTGTTTTGCTGCTTTGAGTTTGAGAGAACCGCCGGCTTCGATTTCAAACCTGGTCCCGTACAGCTGCCCGACCGCATGGTCCAAGAAGAACCACTGCTTCTCAAAGACCACTTTCCTGAGAGACAAAATACACAAAATGTCAAATCAAAGCAAATGAGGAGAGCACAAGCACTTAACAGGAGTGAAATGTGTATATTAGACTTCGTTCTATGAATTATCACATCCAACAGATAAGCCCTCTAGACTAAACATATAGCTTTAATTCAAGTTTTATTTGTTTGCCTCACTTTTTATTTTCGACCTGCACTGATTTGAAGACATCTCCTCTCTTCAGCACTACATAGTCTCCGTAACTGATTCTGCTCTCTGCATCACTGTCATTTACACACTCCGCCATTTACTGCGATCGACGTGGATAAATATCGACCGGAGGATATTTAGAAACTAGTTCACACTTTAACTAACCCAACGCAAAAGTGGTAATGTCTATGACTGCAAACAGAACAGTAATTTCACACAAGCGATGCTTCTTTAATCTTTCCCCACGTGTGTTCTGTCACTTCCTGTTCCGAAAGGCCAGTTAATCGAGCGCTGATTTGATTTCCAGAGCCACAGTCAGACAGGAAGACTAGTAAGTCACAGATCAAAGCGATTTTAGTCAGTTAAAAATAAACGTGTGTTTAATGCATAGACCGTATAAAAACATGGACGTAGTGTCCGTGACGTCACCCGTAGATTTCCGAAGAGCGTTTTTGAAGCTCAAAAGTGGACGGAGGCGGCCGTCGCCATCTTGGCAGCGCGTCACTCCCGGATAATCGAAAATGTTATAAAAAAATTCACCCCCCTCACAGTTGTCATGAAGGGCAAAATTAGCTATATAGACCAAAATCATTTTTTGAACCAGGCTGTAAACGTTTTTTTCTGCTGTAAAGTTGGGCATTTTAACATGGAGAGTCTATGGGATTGACTCCCTTTTGCAGCCAGCCTCTAGCGGCCGGTCGATGAATTACAGTTGAAGTCACTTCCTTGTTGGCTTCAGGAGAGAGAGCGGGAGGTTGCCGCTTGGTTTAATGTATACTCTTCTTTATTGAAGTGAATGAACTTCACATTAAGTTTATACTAATAAAAACTACTACCATGGACATGTACAATGATTATATCATGGCATTATCACGTGATGTCATTTCTGTAGGCTGCCTCTGTACTTCATTTATAAGGGTAAAAAAATAATTATATGAGCCTATCGTTACTAAAATATGAATACTTCCAACATAAAAGTGCAAGTATTACACGTACATTATGTATGTACAATACAGTTGTATCCCATTCGGTCCTATTATTCAAAACTAAAGGGTAAATGTATGTATGATTTATAATTAAAAAATCATATTCGGCACGTGTGACTACGTAGCAGGGTTACTATAGTGAACTAAAACTAAAACCATGAAGAAGTACTTTTCGTTACTTCTTATTTTCATTTAATTTACATTTAAGTACTACAATACATAGACTATAACAAATAAAACAGCAATTTTTTTAAAATAAATTAATAAAAACGATATTGACATATTTAAAAAAAACTTATAAAATTGACAAAAACACTACAAAATAACTAAGTAAAATTTAAAGGAAACAGAAAATGTAAAAATAAAAGCCAACTATAAAAACGATAAAAGTAGTGATGATACTTAAAATGAACTGCTATATTGTTTTTACAAACATAAATAAAACGGCTGTTAAATACATTTTAAGTATAATAAATTGTCAGTGCATGATTATGAATTTCAGACAAGTCAAAATTGGACCTCAAGTGAATGGATTTATTCAGACTATTTTCAGATTTTCCAGTCAACATAATGAAAACAAAATGACATTAAACAAAATCAAATTCAGACTTTAAAAGGAACAATTAAACTGAAAATATATTTTTTCATAAAACAAGCCAAAGCACCTACACATTTTGGTGAAGCATTTAATGTAAACATATTTACATTTGAAAAACTGAACTGTAAAAAGCACTTTGTTAGTACACAACTTCAAAGAAACCTTCAGTTGGAAACTAGCAAATCGTTATAAAGATGTCACGAGTCAGCAAATATATTGTTTCAGATCCAAAATATGGCTTGAATCCTTTGATTTGTTTACTCTCTTGTGCACAAGTCTTCTGTGCGTCTTAAAACTAATATAAAATGACTTTGGCAAATTTAAAAAACACTATCAATTTATTCTTGCTTTTCTTCTAAAGGCTGATGTTGATTTGAGGTCAGTCTTGTCCTCCCGTGAGCTTGTGGAAGAGTTCTTCACGTAATGTTTCATTTTGGTCTTTTGAGCGCGTGGAAAGGAAAATGTAGCCTCCGATATACTCGTGAACCACTTTGCAGTCGCAGCTCTGGCAGGAGAACGCAATTGACACGCTCTGGTCAAAGTCAATGGTCACCTGTAACAGCAATAACACACTCATAGATCATATGCACTTAACTGCCCAACAATCCTAAACCAACACACACACACACACGCACGCACACATACACACACACACACACACACGCACGCACACACACACACAATCTCCTTTGTACTTCTCTTCTCTAGCTGGTTTCCTAATCTAATTGACTAATAAATCTGGCATTGTGCAAAGCGTCTGCTAAATGCATAAATGTAAATGTAAATATTCACACCAGCCACGCAGGCTACAAGGTAGTTTGCAGCACTTTATTCACCTGTTTAATCTCCCAGTTGACGTTCCATTGTTTCATGTTGGAGAACCTCCAGGTGGTCACCGGCAAACCGGTTGACATGTCGATGCGGATCAGCTTGTTGTAGGAGATTCCCAAGAGCTCATCTTTCTTGCTTCCTCTGAATCTGTGGCACAAAGTGACAGAGATTTGAATCCTATTTGTTTTAATCATATTGAAGAGCTCAAAACCAAAATCCAGACTTTGAAGGATGCTCCTAAGCGACACCAATCACAAATCAGTCTGTTGTTCAGCAAAACTGTCTGACAAAATGCCAATTTAGTCTAATTTGAACTTGATATTCAGCATGTGTTACTATAGTTACTATATAGTTTGTACAGACTGCTGTAAAGTATCTGTATATTCCATTTCAAGCATCGTAAACTGTCAGCAGTTGATTATGAAATTGACAAAACGTCAAAATTGGACTCATAATGAAAGTGACTGTATTTATGTAGGCTATTTTCAGATTTTTTTAGTCAACATACCCAATGAAAACAAAATTACATCAAATAGAAAAAATGGACCTTTAAATGGAACAACAGCACTCTATTAAATCTTAATTTCTCAAAACAAGCCAAATGCACCTAGATATTTTGATTATGTGTTTAATGCAAACAGATTAACATTAAAAAAAATTAACTTACATTTTTTTTTTGTTACATTTCATGGTTGAATGGCTCAAAAACCATATTCATTCTTAGAAGGATGCTCCTGAGCGATACCAGGCACAAATTAATTTTGTGTTATACCATGTGTGAGCAAAGTCAGTAAGTTTTAATCCAATGCAATAACATTAACTAGCATTTTCAAGGAAAAGAATATCCTCTCCGGGTCAAAATGACCAGAATATAACAAGGATTATTATAACAACCCATATTTCAGAAAAGAAGCCAAGTGCACCTAAACACTTTTAATACATATAAATAATAAAAAGCACTTTGTTAGTGCACAGCTTCAAAGAAACTCATATTTTATGGTTGGGCTCAAAAACCTTACTCAGGCTTAGAAGTCTGTTCTAGGCACAAAATTAATCTGTTGTTCAGAAAAATTACCTGACAATATAGTACTTGATGCCAAATTCGGGCAGGGACTGCCATGCTTGAATAAAACGCATTTTGGCCTCCATGAGGGAAAGCTGGGAAATATTGTGAAGGGCCTCCAAGATTCGCGTGGTCAGCTGAAATGAGAAGAATAAATAGGATTTTTTCCCCCCTTGTAGCAAAGCAATGCCAAAACAAATCTCAGATATCTAATGATGGATCCCGTTCAAGCCAAATCTTGTCCTTTCTGTGTGTGTCGAGATTGTAATTTCACCTGTTTGGTCTTGTACTTCTTTGCATATCGGGGAGAAACGAAGCACTCGGCATTCATCTCCATTGACTCTACGTCAGGCGCTGCCTGGCCAGGAGGAGGCGCTAGACTTTTCATCTGCAGGAAGGACTGGATGTTCTTCACCTCGGTGCGGTACGAGCTGTAGGCCATCGTCTTTCCTTTGGAGGCCAAAATACAGGCAGCTTTCCACTTGGCATACTGCGTTTCCTGTTTTCAGGAGACGTTTATTTTAAGCGAAAGAAACAAATGAATGCATATGCCTCAATTGGAATGTTCATGAAGCTTATGATTATAATATAACCCTGTAAAGCCTGGCATAGGAAACAACAGTCAGAAAAATCTATTTCTCTTCAAATGAAACAGTTCATTAAATCTTTAGACAAACTATAAAAAAATCTTAAAACAAAACAAAAACAAAAAAACATTGTATATCTGTTTTATATATATTTTTAACATTAGGCTTAGAAAAAAATTCTATATTTTTTTTTTTACTCGAAAATTCTATTTATTTTTTAAGTTTCAAACTCAATTTTATTTAGAGGTCCAATCTGAGCAAAAAAATGCAATTTGGTGCAGATGCTGATATTTATCTGGATTTTTATACCAGTATAACAACTTACATTAAATGCATATAAAAATCAGTCACTATATCTTCCAAGAATATGTCTTAATAGTATTACATTTCAAAAGCTTGTTTTATGATCAAAACTCTTTAGTTTTAATTGTGGAGTGCAAAACATATAAAGCAATGCAATAACAATGATGATTGACAGATGAACAAATAAACGTTCCTCAAAAGCCTTATTAATCATTTTTGATACTCATATTTTACCATATTTTTTCTGAAATATGTGTAATCAAGTAACCTAAGTTTCTTTAAACCAGGAAATATTTATCTTGAAATATTTATAACAATATAACAGTTTATCTTACATTTAAGATTCTGCATACCACAATCTGCATAAAAACATCAATATAAAACTCACATTGTCGCAGCGAATATAAACCTCGTTCATTCCATCAGCCGCTGGCAGTAACAGCTTGAGGCCGAACTTCTTCTCAGTGACGTTGACGTCAGGAATGACCTCACATCCTGTGCAATTAATGATGCATTATCACTATTAGATGCACTGGCTGTATTAAAATGAATAATCTTTTCTCTGTTTGGCTGCTCACCTCGTAGATGGAGTTGCTCAATGGGTTCTTTATTCGCAGACTCTTTGTTTTTGTAGTAAGAAATGGTGGTGTCCCTAAAAACAAACCAGTATTCCTTATACGGCTTTAATGTCAATCGCTTGGGCCTGTAAAGCAAAGAAATGAACAGGTAAGTAAACAATGCGCTGTATAGTTTGTCTTACTGCAGACTAGACAAATGTCACTGAACATGACGGACAAAAAAGTTGCAAAAGGTACTGTTTTGTACATGGAACTATAGCTTATGCTATCATTCAGTATGTGCATCAAATTAACATGGTATTATCATCTGTATCATAGTCATATCATGACAATACTTTGCAGTAAGGGTTGCCTCTGTTGAACTTTGAATGCTTT